TAATCCGATCATTTTCTATTTAAATTAGCGGAATGACGTCACACGATATCACGCCTTACAGTGACCGGTAACACACTCGAGGACAGGAACATTTAACTCTGCCAGTCTACCCGATTAAAGGAGCTATTTCGCGCTATTTACTACATGTATCTTTCAAAAATGCTAAAACGTATCTTTGCATTGATGGAATTCCAAAAATAATGGTCCTGTTTTGCTTATTAGACTATATTTAGGTATTGACACTGTTTCCAGTCGTCTTTTGCTACAGATGGCAAGGTTGGACACGGGTTGAAGCTTACAAAATTATATTGGACCAGCTTTTCAAGTTTTGAAGCTATGTCTACAAAGATCGCCATAACATTAGGAGGTTCCTGATGAAATATGTTTGATCTCTTTTTCATAACTCTACAGTAGAATTTTGTGTAAGGGTAAAAGGCAAAAACTTATTACTTGAGCACAGAATTGACCTAAAGCAGCAATATCCTCGTGATATAGACCCTTTAAGAGTACTTGAAATCCCGGGGGGGGGAAATACTCCCTTATATAAGCCATATAGGTATGTGCTGCTCTCCTCCGGTAGGGTTTTTGGGCCTTTTTGGTCTGAAATCGAGAATGGTATGGATTTTAGAGGTCAGGTCTGAGAACGGGTGTGGAAAATGACATTTTTTGGTCTGAAATAGGGTCAGGATTTGGAGAGCCAGGCGGCACACCCCCATCAAGAATTCCCAGAAGTACTCCCCCGGGCTTGAAATGCGGACAAATCTCGCTAGGATTTTGCATAAGTAGATAGATTCTGAGGGAAACCATGTTTCCCGGTTAGTCACGGCAGTCTATAAACCTTATTATCGTTTTATTGCGAAATTTACATCTTCGTGGTGAATGTGTATGCCTCAACAACTATATATTTAATTTAAAGTTATATCATTACAGACTGGGATGAACTTTGAATGAAAGCAGTTAGGTTCAAAAGACTCTGATTTCCATAACTTTTGATATTCTGTAATTTTGTGTTTTCTGTGTTATTGAAATCTTCCTTCGACTTTTTAAGCGGTAATTTTTCCATTTCGCTGAATTCGGTGGTCAGTTCCCATTGTCTGAATTACGTGACAACTTTAACCCAAAACATTTTAAAAGTATGTTGTCAATTTGAGTTTCAGCAGAAAGTGCTGTTTGAAAATTACAACTGAGGCGAACTCAATCGCGGCTCGCGGCTTGCTAGTCGTCGCTTTTTACCTTTGCTCGCCTGGTTGTCACGTGGCTACCCAGTAACTCTCGGACGATAAAAGCCTGCCCGCATTAAACGGTTAGCATAATCTATGTGGCCTCATGGGGCTAGATCAGTATCGCACTGAGATTATCGTTGGTCTTGTCAAAAGAGAACTCCATGGAAGAAAAAAAGTAGTTTTTAGATGCAATGAAGCTTATGGTTTAAAAACGGAAATTGAAAGGTTTTCAGATCACTACTATTGAGCATACTGAGATTCCGCGTAAACAGGACAAAACGGACAAGGATGTTAAACCCTGTAGACGTATTTATTTGTTTAAGCGCTCAACCTCGGACAAGCACCCACCTCCGGAATAACCGTCCACCCTATAGGCCGGAAAAGTTAATAAGCGCCCAACCCCTAACCACCCCGACAAACAATTGACCTTACTGACAATTGAAGAAGACTAAGTTTTACTACGAGACTCCCCTGAAGATCGTGAGAGGAAAATGAACAGTTAAAAATCTGCTTTGGAACATCGTCATGTTTTGTTGCAAAAATAAAAAATTATCAGTGCTGAAAATCTAGACAATTTAATAGGCTAATAAGGGCGCAGGTTGCTTAATCGAATAAATGCAAAGGACTAAAATTCACTGCTAATGGAGTCAGGCGTAGCGAAAGGTTAGATAAAAAAGAGGAAAATCGTGGTTATTGTCATTCGATCATGACAAGGGATTTATCGAAATCAGAGTATTTTTTTTATGGTATTTAATAGGGCAAACATTTCGCCTCGTAAGCTAACAGGGACCTCCGTTGGTGCCAACAAACATGGCTTCTTTTCTCACAAAGCTATAAGACCACATATGTCATTAATTTTGCGAAAGTAATGTTTTAGCAAGGGTTTTCGTTACAAAATGAAAAATCATAGAGTTGAAATAAGAGATGAAAAAATCAGAAATAATTGTACATGTATGAACTGAAGAAATGGTTGCTAATAATCCAAGAAAACTATGTACTAGGACCGTACAATAAATAACCATGACAATTAAACTAGTAAACATCCTAGTAATAGTGACAAAAAGTAGATTCCTAGCCTTCTAGGGATCTCTCAGGTTTTGCCAAGGAAGACAGCGGGCCTGGGGCAGTGGGATACCAATATACGCAATAGTTTTTTTTCGTAAGATACTAGTAATCGGCTCCTGAAGATACCAATATACCTAAAAATTGTAAAAAACTTTGATTCCCAATACCTGAAATTGCCTTAAAACAGAATACTATATACCTTGCAATGACTTGAAATAACACAGCAGTGTAGGTGGTCGCGACTTTTTTGGATATTCCCTCCTTTGCCATCCCTCACGAACTTCTGGTAAGCATATTTCCATAACTGTGCGAACACACATTCATATATGAAGAAATGTAATCCCGTTATTAAGGACTCTATCTAGTACCATGTCTCTTGATGTAACGGAAAACGAGCGCATTGCCTTTTAACAAGTATGTTCGTTCAGTCCGTCCGTACAGATATTTTGCGCTACAGTCCATCTGAACATAAAGACACATTGAAATCCATTTAAAAGATTTGTCCGTTTCTGATTGGCTCAAACCCCTGGCAGATTCTCCAGCTAGCGGTGCCCAGATATGGAAGACGTTTGCGATATCCAGTAAAATGGCCTCAATAGTGCAGGCTATCGCCAGAAATAGGCTCTGCAACCGAGAAGTCTTGGGGACGAGGTTGTATCAGCTCAGCTAATTTGGTAAAGCTGGAGAGAATTGCAGAAAATTTCACACGTTTTCGAAAGAAGAAATATCCGAACTACTGCCTAAAACATAGTAAGGATAACAGAATTACAACTTAACGGATGACAACTGCTATTTCAAGAATATCTGCGCGATTAAACATCTATTTACAGGGCCGAGGAGCAGTTTTTTAAGTACGGGGACCGATAACCACCCCTTTTGAATTGAAAGGGAACCAGGGAGGGGGAGGTGGACTCTAAATTTACCGAAATTTCGTTTTAAAGGTTCCTGTAACTCCTTTATTTTGTTTTGAATGTCATCGAAACATGTAATATCAAAAATTAAAATTCCCACTTGGGCTTTTAATGCATCAGAGACTATCATCAGCCGATATCATTCGTTTAAAGAAACCGTAGTTCCGCGGAGTAGTCTTCAGATTTAACAGAGAACCATCATAAAACAAAATTCCTTTCCGAATTGTTGCATATGCTACTTAGCCTGGCTGGTTTGAAAACGCGGAAGTCTACGACTGAGTGCAATTTTGTAAGATAGGCGTTGTGAGGCTTACTACGCATCAGATATAGGATCAAATCAGACCAACAGTAAATTTAGATGTCTTGCGAGGTCTGCCAGCCGAATATTCTTATTCCAGCAAAGATATTTTTTATGTGAAAAGTCTTCTACTTAATTTTATTATCATTTTTTTTTTCAAAAGGGGGGGGCACTGGCCTCCCATCCCCTCCCCCTGCGTGGGCCCTGATTTAGATCGTAAATTTGCCCAGGAACTAGCGAATGAATTAAGGCGGGAGCTTTAGTAAGGTAAGAATTATTTTGAATGAGTTATAAAGCAATTATATAGTTTGGATTCCGCTTCAGTAGGATCTTAAGAACCATGTCAGACCTCGGAGGGTGTTATTCTCCTCGGCCAATAACACCCCCTTCCATCTGCATGATTCCTGAGATCCTACTTAGCCTCATTCAATAACTGCTAAGTACTGAAAAGTCACAACTTCCAACAATTAAACTCTTTAATAAGCAAAAATTCAAACTTGCCGTTACAATTTAGAATGCATCGACTACTTACCTAATTATTCACTTTACTCTGTTTCCTTCTCAACAATCTAGGAAACTGTCGTCACACTACTAACATCAATGGTTCCACACACACACACACACACACACACACATGGCTCTGCGTAGATTTATGCTGGTCATTGAAAGATTTCATCCTGTTCGGTTTGAGGATTGGATAAAATACCATTTTTTCTCATACTTTAGAGGACGACTATGAGGACGAGAGTTTCTAAATACTAGGTAGCGTGCGCAAGTGAACCAGCGTCATATTGGCGGGAAAACGCGATAGCCGTCGTCGTTCTACTACGGGTTTTAGCAAACTGTTTTTTTGTAGGAATCAAGTTAGCAAACGTTAGAGGTTTTACCATTTTGTGATCAGGAGACCGCTTAATTTCCTTCAATAGTTTTAATATTACTTTACCAACCTTTCTGGTGAAAATAAAAGGGGGCAATGAAGTACAGTTGATGCCTATATTTTTAGAAGACGTAGTCGTTCTCGTCCTCGAATCTAATGGTCTATACTAGCACTCGTCAGTTATAGAAAATTCACCTTATGATTACAGTTGGATTTCATTTAAAGCTACATTAGCCTGTACTAGCTGGTCAAGAGTCGGCGCAACTCTTTTAAAACCCCAATTCAAGATGGCTGACAATCTCGGACATAAAAAGCTGAGGCTGTCATAATAAAAAGTGCAGTAGGCTGCTCTAAAGGGAATTTTCTATCGAATCAGCTCCACAGTGTCCACAAAATTTTAGTTATTTATCTTGAATACCTTCAATTTACATCTGATCTATTTCAAACATTCATATTCCTCGATCCCTGTTCCTAATCCCTAAATTGATGGACACTAATTTACCGCGTTGTTATCCTGGATACCATTCCCTCACAAAAAAGATCAACCTTCTTGAAGTGGGTCTAAAAGAATTGCCAGGATCGAACAGCGTTTGCCTCTAGCTGGCGTTTCAATCAATGTTAATGAGCTACATGCATGGCCCAATCTCTTTAATGGCATCATAAAGCACGTACATAATGACGTAGTTCCGGTACTTTTTCACGATGTCATCTGTGATTGTCAGCGTCTGAAATAGAAGAGCATAATTCTTAAAAGCCCTTGGTATTAGGAAAATAGTTACTTAGGTCATTCCTCATAGATATGATGTACTTCAAAGGGATGAAGAAAGGAGAAAAACCTCTACGCGCCTCCAGAGGTATGCTCAGAGAACTAGATCGGAATGTCAATGTGAATATTGCAATGGTCAAATTGCAAGTTTTTTAAAAAATGCACAGATGTGCTACACATTGGAATTGAAATGCTGGTGAATGGAGCCCTGTTAGAAGAAAACAATGCTACTTTTCTGAGAATCAGCGTCTGATTATTGACGACATTTCAAAATTCAAAATTATCTGGGATGTTCCCAACAGATGAAGACCAGGCATTAAGCAAGGATTGCTACAGTAGCATTAGCAACACCGTTGCCGGAACGTTAATGGTCGCGTTACAATGGTTTATTACTTAAAGAACGGTCACTGGCGAGAGATGAAAAAAACACGTTTGGCTGAAAAGCTGTGGTCCTATCCTGTCAAAAGTGAGGTGTTGCTAAACTCCCGAACGAACATGGAACGCACTACGGTTCCATCTTGCACAATATCACGGGCTACACTTGAAAAATTCTAGGAATGTGTGTTGTGTAATGATCAATCTTTTAACCGTGCAAAACAGAACAGAAAAACCTCTCGGGTTCTACTACGATCCCGGATATAACATCTGCCCCCTTCAAAGGGAAGCAGTCACTTAATCTCAACTCAACAAATGTTCTTTTCAAACAACATTAACAGCCAACTAGTGTTGTCATTTTAGTTCATAATCTCGCTAATAGATAGGCGTTAACAGTCAACTACCAGTAGTGTTCTCACTTAAGTTCATAGTCTCGCAAATAGATAAGTGGACCCCGACTGGTCTTTGTAGGAGAGAGCGTTTTTCCGTATTAGTAGGTACGGAAATCTCACATGAAGAACTTGGATGAGCTCTGAAAGTATCATCACCAGTGACAGTTTCTGGAATGTCCGACTGGAAGCTAGACAGAGTTGTCATAGCTATGGCAAGGTCTGAATGAGGCTTGGAAGCTCTCTTTGTTTGGCTGTCCACAGGAGAAGGTTGACAACTACCAGCCAGAGGAAGTTCATCTGACATCGAAGGAAGGTCTTCCGACCCTGGGGTATCCATATGAGACGGCATCTCAGACAGCTGATCAATCACTTAGTCACTGGTCGATGGAACTTTACCTACGGGTCGGCTAAGCAGTTGATCAACATGCCGTTACCAAAAACATCCAGACACATCAAATACGTAATGTCTTGAACAAAGAACCTCAGTAATAACACCTTGCATCCATTTTTCTGCCCTCTCGTAATAAGAATCACGGGCATTCAACTGGCGCAGGCCTCTCTTTGCATTGCGACTTTGAGCGATTTTCGTATGACCTAGAAAAATGATTTCGGTAAGTGTTCGTTATTTGCATTATCACCAATGGATAAAAAGATCAAAACATGGACTCTTCGTTTTCCCGCCAAAGATATCCCTTATATGGAGAAGGCATTGTTCGATTGACCAATCGTGTTGCAGTATGACGTCAAAGCGAAGTATCGGTTGATTTCTAGAAAGTTCCGCTTCACCAACCAAAAGCCACGCGCGTTTGTATCCGTTCAATAAACCAAGCAAATCGCTCTATTTCTGTTCGTTTGTTGTTTCTGTTTTGTTCGTGCGTTTTCATTTCAAGGTCATTCGCAAATCACTCTCTCATGGTATTGTACGAGCTTCAACATGTTTTTCAACACAAGGAGTCAGTAAATCCAGACGTGTACGCAGTTTCCTATCCATCAGAAGCAGTGAGGGAAGTTCACCTGTAGTAGAATATGGAGTGTTTCGATAAACCAACAAGTATTTGGGGATTACAGCAGAAACACCAATTTGGGTAGCTTGGGCTTGTTTGAGTGCAGTCTTCAAAATCTTCCCAACTCGTTCAGCTTGACCGTTGGTTGTTTGGTTTTTAAGGTGCTGAATGTACGATGCATAATCCCATTGTTAGAACAAAACCGTTCAAATTCTGTGAACTGAACTGTGGCCGATTGTCAGAAACAAGAATTTCTGGAAGACCGTACCTACTGAAAATGTCACTTAATGAAGTGATGGTGGCTTGGGAACCTCAGAATCTAAAAAGTAGCATTCACCATTCTCACACTTGGGTGACCATGTCTCAGGTAAAGGAAGACGGGACATGCTGTCTGCATCAGCATGTGCAACAGTGCTCCGGTACTCAATGTTGTAGTTGTACGAAGCCAGGATAAGTGCCCACCTTTGAAGTCCAGCTGCAGCATGAGCAGGAACAAGCCGATGTCGTCCCAAAAAAGTCAGCAGTGTTCGATGAGCTGTTAAAATTGTCAGGCAAATACTGGCAGAATCGTTTTAATCCAAAAATGATACTCAGAGCCTCCTTTTCTAACTATGACTATTTTTGTTGGGCACTTGTCAAAGTAGCAGAAGCAAAGGCAACGGGTCGAAATTGCCCACCAGTCTTGTGAGATAGAACAGCTCCTCCACCGTAAGATGAAGCATCACGAACAGGGACAGCGTGTGATCATAGTATACTAATGTCTGAGAATCCAGTAACAATGCATCTTCTTCAATTTTGGACCACATCCAGGGGATATATTTCTTGAGCAGACTGTGAAGAGGTGACAGTACAGTGGAATGATGTGGCATGAACCGTGAATAGAACGTACATTATAAGTCCCAGAAAAGACTTAAATGTGGTAACATGCTTAGCCCGTGGAGCATCACGGATGGCTGCAAGTTTATCGTCGGTAGGCTGTAAACCCTCTTCATTGAGCTTCTGACCTAGGTAAACTACTGATTGCTGAAGGAATTTTCATTTTGTCTTGTTCATTTTGAAACCTGCAAAACGAAGACGTTCCAGCACAAGAGAGAGGGTGCGAAGGTGATCCTCTGGGTTTAGCCACAAGGATATCATCCAAACGACCTACAGCTTTTGGAATGTCAGAAAGCAAACTGGCCATGATTCTGTGAAAAATAGCTGGACCAGAGTGAATTACGTGTCGTAGCCTTTTAAAAGCAAACAAATCAATGTAAGTATTAATTATCAGATAGGGCTGGGATTCTTCTGCAATTGGTATTTGATGATAGGCTTGCTTAATGTGTAGGACATTAAACACGGTACATCCCCTCAAGGCTGAATGCACTTCCTCAATCTCGGGCATAGGGTAGGTCTCATCATTAGCACATGCATTGTATGTTGCACTAAAATCTCCGCGTACACGTACTTCATCACTGTCTTTCTTGCCAACTACTACATTGGGGGCAGCACTAACAGCAGAAGTAACTCTTTCAATCACACCATCTCTTTCCATTTTTAACAAGGTACTCTCCACTTTTGATTGCAAAGCATAAGGAATTGGTCTTGCTGTGTGAAATTTGGTCCCTTGACTTTCTTTTAACAGAAAAGACTTACCAGTATAACACCCCAGTTCAGGTTGAAACAATTCACTATACTGCTCAAGGACGGAATCCAATGTCTGATCTCCAGAGGTAGCTGGAATTGTAGAAAACTCAGATGGCAAAGTTCCAACATGATTCAAACTTGGCGGGTTTTGCCAATCCAAGTTGATATGCATAAGCCAATTTCGTCCAAACAATGCACATGATCCTTCTTTCACAAAAAGTAAGGGTAGTGAACGCTGTGATCCCGAGTACTCAACGTTCACACAAGCCTCTCCTAAAGGATGCACAATTTCACCAGCGTAGGTTGACAGAATAACATTTGTTGGATCAATTTTGACATCAGGACAAACTTCTTTAATGAAGCTGATTGGGGCAAGAGACAGAGCACAACCAGTTTCTAACTGCATACAACAATTAGTGTTTTCAATCTTTAGCTGCACAGAAATTTCAGATCTGAACATAGTGTTAACGTCGTAAACCACATAAATGTTTAAATGTCGCTGCAGTAAATCACAAAACGCCTTAAACGTTTTATCTTTCGGTTTCTCTGGACTACATCAGTGCCGCATAAATCACGAAGAGTTCCATATGTGTTCTTACCGATTACCTAAATCATTACAGCGACTTTTTTCTCGTTGGCCGCTTGAAAAAAGCCACGGTAGCATCAGCAGGACAATGGACAATACTATTAGCCATCTAAGAATTGTTCCAGTCTTTCAAAATAAGCGGTGAACGTATCAGTAGACGGATAGAACTCCCCAACGGAGCCAGGCAACGTGGGCGAAGCCATGATAGAAACCACAACTGCGCAAGCAAACACGTGTCCGAACGAATTGAAGAACCGAACACAGATAACTGGTTATGCAGTGAAGAATAAGGATAGTCACGTATCACAAGGAATTCGTAAGGATCCCATCCTCGTCGCCAAAATGTTATTACTGGTCAATCATGTACATTGTATTAGCAAGAAAGCTGTGGTACAGAGACAGCTCACAGAACCGAACAAAACAGAACAGAAAAACCTCTGGCGTTCTACTACGCATGCGCAACGAACCTAGGATCCCGGATATACCACAATTACAACGAAGATCATTACAAATGGGCAAGCCACAAAACCGCAAACCATCGACTGTTGGCGCTTGCGGTTTAGTTTTCTCGCAAATTATTAGCAGATGTTAAAGGTGTTTAATGGTGCTTTGTGCATTCCTGCGCATATCACCATCGCCGCTGCGGTCGACCTAATTGCTTTCTGTATGTGTATGCAAAAAAGGGGAAGACGGCAAAAAGTAAATACTCTAGGACTTCTTTAATTAAAACTTATTAGCCATATATGGTTAGAAATTTTTGTTGTTTGTAATTTTAGTTATTTGAAAATAGTTGATTATTCTATAAGGCTCCAAATAAAAAAAACATGTTTGTATGTATGCAACTAAGGGACCGTTCATTTTTTTATCAGGTAAGGGGAGAGGGGGGAGGTAGGAGGGTTTGGGGCTGGTGGGGTTTGAGGGGGGCCATGAACAAAATATGGCTTTAAACAAATAGTGTGTTTAAAGGGAGGGAGGGGGGGGGGGGTCACAAAAACCAGCGTCTCTGACATTCGGAAAGTTCAATTTTATCGGGAAAGAAAGTCCCAGGACCCCCCTACTTTATTATGCACCAAAAGACAATTCTATCCCTCTAAAACGCAAAAAAGCATTCAAGCATACCAAATCGAACGTTTCATTAGGGAAAAAAATAACAAACTCAGTTAGTCATTTTTCATTTTCCTTTCGCCTTTTTTTGGGGGGGGGGGGTGGTTTCTCAATTAATTTGGGATACAGGGCGGGGTGGGGGGGGGCAAAACAGTACTTTTGAAGAGGGGGGTCATCATATACTACAGGAGCTATCCGTCGAATCCCACCAGCTCCCCTCTCCCATTAAAAATGAACGGCCCCCAATGGAAACAAAATAACTCAACACCGTCGAGCTAATCAGAGTATAACGATTTCTGCGAGTATAATTGACTTACCACAGAATTGCTTTGCACCAGGGCGCTCAGATAGAGACGGGTCCTTTCATCCAACTTTGCCTCAGGTATTTTGGGAAGTGCAGGAACAGAAAGGTTCTTTAATGCCATCTGCAAGTAAAGATGTGAAGCATTTTAACCTCCGACAGACCACATTACCAGAACTGAACCTCCTGAATTAAAACAACACAATGGTCATTTCATATTCTCTTCTATAAGATTCTAAGACGCATGCGTTTCGGCTACGATGATATGCCACAAGCTCTGGATATAAGCGCTATAATATAAATAAAGTTATTATTGTTATTTACTATTATAAGGAGGATGAGAAGATTTCACTTCGTTTAATCCCGAGAAGTGTTGCACCAACATTGTTTGGTTATTTTATGTTTTCACCGCCGTTGTTGCTGTCAACGCAATGACCTTGCCTTTGTTTGGTTGTGTGGGAGAATTTTATTAAAGCACAAGCGCATTCGTCCGTAAATATTGTAAAGACGCAAATAGCTTTGTGGCTAATAACATCGGACAGTGTGCAGCGGATGCGACGCCCGTAGTAACTGGAGCGTCCAAGAAAGGTTAGGTTGTCGTAATGTTTTCAACAATAGGCAAGAAAACGCGAGTCATCTTTTGGAATCTGTGTAGTATGGAAAAATTTCTTGTAGCTGTTGCTGTTGCTCTCCTCTTCTGGGGCCCCGACCACTCTCAAGTACCAAACCAAGATAAGATCTTACCATGTCGTGAGGCTGCTATTACAGTTTCGTGGGGGGGGAGGCAAGGACCAGTCGTTGGTGTCCTCAAACCAACTTGCTTTGGTCAAATAGGGCTAAAGCCCCAGATTTGCGGCCTATCAAGGAGTAGGAATCTCTGATCCCAAACCCGAATGGATGACATACTCGTTAGCCCTGGAAGGCAACCATCTCCGGGTATAAAAAAAACATGAAAAGTGAGCCAACCTATCTTTCGAATTCAGGCTTGGCTGATGGACAATAATCAATTGACATTTCGAAAACAGGAACCTTATGGACACGGATATGGAGAATAGACTTGACGATCTAATTAACAATTGCTCGGATGTGACGAGAGCCACACAAGAAACTGAAATGGTTTTGACGTAGAGGGCGAAAGCCTGTGGGAAGCGCGCAGTGCAATTAAGTGTCCCTATACCATGCTAGTAGTTGGCATTTACGGAAAAATATAAGAGATCTTCCCAGCCTAAGAAGTAGCAAGAGAAATGAGAAAGCACATAGTCGACAAACTTGGTGTGAGTAACTAATGCACATGGATAGGGACAAGGAAAGCTTTGTTCAAAACGGTTGAGACAGAGCTAAATGAAAGAAAGGAGGACGTCACTAAGGAGAGGTAGCTCTCATGTTATAAAACAAGTAACGGAAAAACAGGGATTGGGAGTGGAGAGAGGTTCTGCCGATTATGTTAGATATGTAAGATATGTGATAATATACACTTCTGAATTGGATGAACCAAACCAAATTGAACATCTACCTTTCGAGTGACCACAAACTCGTGAGTTGCAACTTCTGAGCAAAACGAATTGGAACAAGATTCAACTAAAGCTAGATCTATACAAAGGGTGGAATGGAAAGACAAACAGAGACAGTACATTTTTTAGGCCAGAACAGGCTCAAAGATTTGCAGGACAAAGTAGACTACAAAGAGTCGGAATAAGCCTTTGTTTAAACTACCAAAAATAAACTCGAGGAGTAAAGCCGGCCTCTTTACAATAAATGGTACGAGATCGCAGCAAGGAAAGTAGATACACAAAGCATAAAGAGCTTGACATAAGGAAAGATAGAAGAACTATTCAAAGCCTGTTGACGGTCTGGAAGGAAGAGGGATTTTTCAGTGGAAACCAAAAACAATCTGACTAGCTGGTTCGGACAATACTTCTGTGTTAATGTGAACAGTGAAATATGATGAGGTTTCGACGGAAAAACCTGCATGCCTTTCAGTTTAAATGTTTGAGAAGAATTTTAAGGATAATTTGACGTGCTCACATAGGGCATAACACTTGCCAAAAGAATCAGTGATGAGGAGTTCTCCATGTTGCGGATAAATTTTGTGACTGTTACGTGGTAGTAGGATTACAGCCAGGGGGAAAGAAAGCAGATCTCTTTCACCTTCACTTGTCTGATTGAATGGCGTATGGCAGCCTCACCACTCTGCCGCCAGCCAGCTTGATTGGCCTGCTGCGGCGTGCAACATCCATCACAAGTACGATGTAATAGTTTTGGTCGACTTACTGCTCTCTTTCTTCACCTTGAGCTTGCCCCTCGTCATGTTGCTGAGTCTTGCTTTTTCAAAGTGTCTGAGGGCTTTGGCGACTGTCAGGGGGAAAGAAAGCAGATCTCTTTCACCTTCACTTGTCTGATTGAATGCCACATGGCAGCCTCACCACTTTGCCGTCAGCTAGCTCGGTTAGCCCGCTACGAAGTGCAACATCCATCGCAAGTATGATGTAAAAGTTTTGGTCGCCCTATTGCGTTCTTTCTTCACCTTGAGCTTGCACTTCGTCATTTTGCCGAGTCTTGCGTTTTTCAAAGGGGCTAAGGGCTTTGGCTACTGTCAGTCCGGTCCTTGGACCAAACCATGTCATATTAGGCTGATTTAGCAACAGAACGGGAACGTCAGTTGACGACTGGAAAGCGCGCGGAAAGGACTACACACGACTTCTGGTGCCAAATTTGCCTCTCTGCTATTGGTCAAGCCATTTGTTTGATTTGCGCGCGCCGTCGTCAAGTGACACTCCCGTTCTGTTGCTAAATCAGCCTATTGTTCAACGTTTAGATGAGCAGTCCCTGGTACTCCAAGTTGGGGATTGGTTGGGCCAATCTCCCGTCCCCATAAACCAAGAACAATACAGAAACCTTGAGTACTATAAATCGCTTTCTTTTGGGCCTTTGAGTTGGCTTTCGTAGGTGAGCAAAGCATGACGTACTTGTACATGGCGGCTCAGGGACCTAAATGTATAGATGAAGGCTTGGTCAGATTATCTGATCGTGCCCTGGTCTTGCTTCCCATATCAGAAAAGATTTCATTGCCTACCACAGGTATCAGTCTATGAGGTCTGCACCTAATCCATCCTTAGAGTTTTCAAGTATGACTAAAGTCTCCTAATCATTTGGACTTGGCCAGACAAATCTTCGGAAGTACTAACTTCATTGAAGCTCAAGTCTACACACCATCTCAAGAGACTGCAAAGACAACAAGTTGCATACTGGGGTTGACACAACCGCCAGGGCACGTCGTAACATTTGCAAATAAAATTTGAACCAACTGCTTAGCTGTTGTGCCAATGATTCCCTCCCCCCAAGAAACATTTTCTGGTAATTCCCCTGTGTCCTTGGCAAAATATAATGACATTCGGTATAAACTTAGCAGCTGAGACAACACCAAACCCACCAAGTTTATGCTCTTTCGTTTCTTCAGCCTCTCGTATTGACCTTTCTTTGGTGGACGAATAAAAAGTCTGACTGGAGCGCCCATCACCAAAAGCTTTCCTCCCCTAAATCCATTATTCTGCTTCTGCATCCAAGTTATACAACTGGTGAGAGTCGTCCCACGTTTAATTCTTGACCGTTCAAACTACTTGAAAGATGGATTGTTTTTTTCGAAGATTGATTTTTTATGATGTCAAATTTTTAAGGTTATAATGCGCCTGTTTGCAAGTGAGAATTTAGAATAAATAAATGTGTTGAATTTAGTGCTTTTCTTTTTCAGTTTGCTTGTTATAAAAGCTTCTGCTTATGTTTATGCTTCACCTTTGGAGCCATTCAACCGTTTGTTTAAAAAATTAGACATTGCAAAGATAGATTGAATGCCATTGACACGGTGTCACGTGGATTGCTACGAGTCTAGAGGGGACTACGGTAGGGGAGTTAATTAAGCTTGATTGACATGAACAGCCTAACAACTCTAAGAGTTCAATGAGATGGAAAGTCAAGTGAGTTACGTATTTACCTTAAGCCTTTTTGTGCTAATATATTGTTTAAGTTTTTTTAGTGGCTCTTTAAAGCCCTACATTTCCAAATTAAAGGCGTCCATTATTACTTTTTTGGCCGTTTTGGCTACAGTGTTCGTTCCAAGGAAATCTCTAAAGTGCCCTTAATAAAGGTTTCTGTTACTCTTTGTAAAACTCTCAATGATGCTTTAAAAATGTCTTGTCTATGTAAGAAAAATCTTAAAAACAATGGAATTTATTATAGCAGTTTTTTATGCACTCGAATTCGAATTCATTTAATTGAGCGACAGTTTTTTAATCAGCATCAATTAACGAGCTCGTGACCTATAAGTTTAGTAGTACACTTAAAGAAATAAACTTACCTGACGTGTAACATAGGACACGGTGTCATTCACAAAGTAACTTGTCATTTCAAGCACGTTCGCCAAAGAATTGTGCAAGGGTCCGCGGCCATCTTCAAAACTGAATGCAAAGTAAGCTGGTTTTTTAAATACAGCCATCTGTGAGTACAGCGTCTCCAGTTTCTCATTCGCTGTCTGCAAAATGCACAGTTTTAATGTCTCAAATTTGTTTGCTATTAATAACTAGAATTTCCCCTAACAACGGCAGCCTCAAGGTCACATGACGTCTCAAAGAGAAACTGTTTTCCATCAGGATTCTACGAGCGGGCAAAATTACAAAATCTATGACGTCAGAGGGTAATAGGGCATGTTGGATCCAAGAATGTCTTTGTTGCGCAAATAACAGATCACTTACTGACTGTTTAGTCCCTTGGGAAATCAGTTCATAATGTTTCTCGAGCATCTCACTGCTGAAAATGAGATGCTCACCAATTTAATGCTCATAATCAATTGATTTTCTGTGGGATCAGTCATTAAGTCACGTTCAGTTGGAGTAATTATTTAAAATACCTCTGTGGTTGGTAATTTGAACGCGGTTCATTCCATAAATCCTTCGCATTATATCGTCTTTGGGTGTTTAATGTGTTTTGCATCGGATTGGCAAACATTTCTAATTCGTTGTTTATTTTCTTGAAATGCTATGACTACAACTGCATGTGATATCTTAACTTAGAATCACTTGGTGACAGAAATATGGATCTAGATCAAAAGGGTGGAATTAAGCTCTTCTATTCGAAGTTTTACCCACTATATCTAACTAATTCAGACATGTTTATTTAAAAATGACATTTAATGCTGCAAGTAATTGTTCTCATACATTTTTTTGGTAACTCTCAAGTGTATAGTTTCACTAATAACTTCACCATCATTTACAATCGAGACTCCTCCTCATATCACGTACGTTTCATGCTTCTATTAGTTTTAAGCCATCTTTGGACGGAGTGATACGAGATTGGTCTCTTATTTTATGAACCACTAGATGGTGTTGTTTTGGTCTCACAAAGCTGGGGAAAAATAAAGATATTATTGAAATGGCTGTCGAGTTTCTGCCGGTTCATCTCCCTCCTTTCCACCTTAACTTGTTTTTTCAAAGCATCTTTGTTGATCATTTTTTGTGGCGAGATATATTGTTTTTTGCATTCAACCAACTTTGCATTAGTCTTTCCAGAAGTATCAGTTTCACGAGGAAGTATTAAAAAACGCGGCACAAAATTTTTTTTCACTTATAAGATCGAAAGGCATGACTGTAGTTTCTCAGCTGGTAGGTTATAAAATATGATGAATTTAAACAACTTAGGTAATTTCACTTCAAAAAGAGCTTGCAGGGAACCTTTTTCACCTATCAAGATTTCGAATTTCTGGTAGGACCAAACTGCATGGCATGGTAATTGGCCAGGATTTTCGGTTAGTTTCGTTAAACGTTTCGTTTCTCCTTCCTAAAAAGAAAATGCATTACCTCTTTTCAGTTTGTTGTTACGCGTTGAACGGTTAAGAAATCATTGGACCGCCATTCCATCTAAATATATCATTTTATTCCCCAGCTCTCTTTTTCTGTTGAATAGTCTTGCTTTGGGGTTGCTTAAAAAGGCCGTAATTATTGGTACATAATGTGATGACACGAAACTCAGATTGTGTAGTAATGAGATGTTTTCACTTTATAAGAAAAAAGATAATCGTATACTAATTACCTTTTTGTTGTTACAATCCGGGTTAAGATCAAGCCCAAGAGTTATGGGTGGCTCCCGAAGATAGCCTGATGAAGTAATGAAGGGGTAAAGGAGCTTCATCTGCAAGAAAAGAAACTTAAAAGGTTATTCCGCTTCCTTTCAAAGTGTGTTTGTCTTGATTTTCATATGGTCCCAGAAGTGCTAAGGTTGGGTCTTTTTCGACATAGGGAGTGAACGACATAGGCGACATAGGCGCGATTCCGTAATGTTTCTTTTCTGCTAACAAGCTAAGCACAGACCTGTTCAGTTGCGTTTGTGACTCTCGGGGCAACAAGTAGATTGACCAAGATTTCAGCATCACTGTATGAGGAATTCTTTGGAACACTTGTCGCAGATATTTTGGTTGGTGTAAGAAAGCAAATGGAAACGAAGAGGAAGATTCTCAACTCCATTTCTGAAGAAAAAAGGAAGTTTATTATGGTTAAAAGTCATGGACTCGCATTAATGTTTGGTTTTGGTAGCCTTTCTACAGGGAGAAGTTGTTGCCAAGCAGTTGTGCTGTGTTCTCGTGTATTGTTTCACAGTCTGGCTCTGTTGCTCCAGTTGGCGCCTCTGTTATGCAACTTCTCGTTTCTTTTCAGCCCTTTAGTTCAATTTTACTGCCAAGATTTCGGAAGCACAACCTGATTTTTTGCTTCTAGGTCTTTCTTTGCATTTTGAAGTCATTGTATAAGACTCTCGAAAACTAACATTCACTTCATACGTTATCCCCAATCGCATTCTCCAGCGTTACTGCTCGGGAAACAGGACATTCACAACGCAAAACGCTCACATTTAGGACATTTCGTCGTAAATTGTTACCAATTAAATAAAAATTTTCATTACAGACATTAACAGTAATCGATTGACTCTTTTTAGTTACTCATCGTAGTTTACGTTATGCTCGAATGTTTGTTTACCTCATGAATGGACGGAAACTGCGCTTTTGTGGTAAATGACGTCTTCGATCCTCTGCCTTCGACGTCTAATTCTGATTTACGAGATGAATTTAAACTGACTTAGTTATTTCTGTGCCTTACCTTGAGATATTAAAAGGCGTGATGTTGCTTTTGGAGTAGCTTCGGTAATTGCGTGAGGAATATTGGGGAAGGTTTGAGATCTGAGATTGCGCTGTTGTTTCTTTCAAGCTCATGTTCCCTGATGGTCACCAGGATAGGCTGGGATGGGCGATAGTGTGGCTGGGCTGGGCCATACGTTAACATTTGCTGACTGAAAGTTTTCATTGTCATAAATGTGGTTGCCACTGAGAGAAAAAAAAAAGAAGCACAGTAAGGATAGACGTGGCTTTAATTTTCTGAAAAGTCTTTGCATTTAGTACATAAATTGCGGTGGAATTGAAGGATCCCCAAAGGCCTCTATTCTTTAGACTTAAGATAACTCGCCTTAATGCTAAGAAATCGTGCCAAATTGATAGAACTGTACATCCGTTTTTCAATTGTTTGTTCACCAGAAGAAAACATTTCCCTTTTTTCCCCCCCTGGAATAACCTCCTCCTTTCTGAATGGTTACAGCACGTTCACATAACAAATGGTAAGTTTCTTGATCTGAACACATATTTTGAAAACGTTGTTTTGTAAACTAGCATAATGTCACAATCTCTCCTAATTGTTTCTTTTGCATTTGAAACAAGTGCTTGTAACCACAATTATTGTAAACAGTCAAAACAAAAAAAATGTGACGTAGAATTGCTATGGATAAAACAAAGGTACCTTTTATTGTTGGGTTGACTTAATGAGTCTTGTCATTGTTATGATAAACTCCTCCATCATCCAATAGTTTATAACTGAGTAATACGTCGTTACTCCTTGCATATCCACTCAGCCTTCCTCTTCGTCCACCTTTTTTAAACGTCATAATTGCTCATTCTTTCTAGATCATTAAATGTAATTGGAAGGAAATAAAACAATAACTTGGGTTTGAATTAATATGATAGGACTGATTGCCAGTACGAACTATTGAAATGTCTAGTACTAAGCCTTTAAACAAAAAATGCACTGAACAATGACAAAACATTGATTGTTGCATAGAAATAGAAAATTTGTTTCAGTTTTAGCGAAAATGAAGTTGAGAAAAAAATTCTTTTTAGATGAAAGTTTTACAGAAAAACAATGTGTGCTCCTTTTTCTGTGACAAATTAATAATTTCTCATAATATTTTTTCTTCGAAAAACATTTATGGTTTTAAATATACTCAGTCTGATGCGCGTATAATCTATTGGTTTTAGTTAATACCAAACGCAACTACTCAAAAAATTATGTAATTTAATTATTTATCTGATTTATGTGTGAATGTTTGCGTACATATTGAGAAAAATATTTCAGATTTCATTTTCAATCCTTTGAGACTTTTTTGCTCATTAAACTCTCATTAAACTTATTTTAACTGTTTGTTATTTTAACCAAAGTTACAAAAGAACAATATGTAAATGTATTGTTCAACTGAGATCTACCTTGATTTCTTTTTTCCACGATGACACCATTGATGGCTCTCTGTGTAATTTCAAATCTGTTAACATAAACTGTAATTATTTCATCAGCTTTATGATTTGCCCAGTGAGATTGGGAAGAAACGGGACTGCCCTATGAGAGGTGCCCCTCAAACCCATTCCCAAACTCATAACAAATAGAGACTAAAGGTGGTCACTGCCATAGATTATTACAAAAGGTAGTGGTTCTTTTATGTTCCACAAGGCATGGACTGGCATAAAAATATTTCTTTTAAAAATCTCACACTTTTTCAATTTTGTACCACTGTATTGTTTGTCATTTTAACCAAAATTGCATAAGAGTAACACAAATTCTAAATGTTAAAAGATAAAACTATTTACCATTTTTTGTGTAATCATGAATCTGTTAGCATAAACTTTACTTTACTTAATCAGCTTTACTAGACATAGACTTTACTTGTAGGGTTGGACACGAACGGGACTCTCTGACCCAATGAGAGGTGCCCCCCAAACGATTCCCTCCACTTATTATAGAGACAGACACTAGGGATGCATGGTCATTGTCAGAGATTAATTGCTACTATTACGTAGTTGTTCTGTCATGTCCAAGGCATGGAAACGTATAAATCATTTCTATTTAATTTTTACGTTTAGAGGATTACAAGAATACATTTAGAAATAAAAATCAATACAAATGAAAATTTTTGACACTCTTTTGCTGAATCTCTCCTTTTTTTGCCTACCCTTTTTCCTCTTCTAGCGATAAAAGACTAAGTGTTTAATATTAGTTTTCTCGCGGAACTGTTTAAGGAAGTGCTCGCTAAGATTGATTGAATGTAAAACCTTTATTGACGTTGTTTTTCCACAAGCATATTTTAACGTTATTGGTATGAATCTGATAACTTAAATTAAAGTATTAAAATGCCCAAAAAAGAAGTTAAATTCAATTATTAGCAAAAGAACCAAAGAAAATAGTTTTAATTTGCGATTTACCTCACGTAGCAAAACGAGGTTTATATATTACGTTTCAAGGGTAGAAAACTACCATTGGTTTTCTGAACAAAAGAGGTTTGCAGTTTATTATTTATATATACAAATGTACTAATGATATAATCTGTTAGACTAAATTGTTAACGACAGAGTCTGAATTGACAGTAATACATATATATTTTATATTTTCAAGGAAAGAAGTAACATCTTAAACTTCCTGGAACTCATTAACAAATTATCAAAGTGATACTAATTTATAGATAAAGTATTATCATACAAGTATAGTGTAAAGTATAGCGGTAAAATACTCCCTTTTTTATGCAAATATGTGGTCGAAACTATACATTAGGAATATTCTAAAATTCATGATTAATATTCAGTTCGTTGCCTGAAACACTGGTGCTCTTCCCCTAAGGAAATGTAATAAACTTTAAGAGAAACTATTAATATAACCAATAAATTTGTAAGTGCTTTTTACTCTTTTTTCTTTGTTTTGCTGTTTTACTGTAGCATATTCTTTACTTTTAAATAAGTTAGGCTATATTAAAAACTATTGAAATAGTTTTAATTTGTTACAAAATTTTCTTTAATTCAGGTAATTAGGCCTCATAGTAGGGGTATTGAAGAGGAGCTTATTACCCTCAGCTGTATATAATCAGTGTTACGTTTTGCAAGAGTACTTATACTTGTCATTATTCTTTAGTACTTCGTATTACTCGTAACTTTTTATTGTAGTTTTTAGCGGTTTTTAACCTAGTGCATATTTTCTTTTTAATTTTTTTTTAGTCAGCAGGACCCCGTTGATAACTGTACTTTGTACAGAAGGGTTATCCTGGATAAATATTCGATTATTATTATTATTGTTATTATTATTAATATATTTATTATTAACAAAGTAGCTAATAATACTCCAGTAGACCTTCTTTGTTGAGGCCCTCCATACTAAAATGTGATTACCTTGTAAAGGTTTAAGGCTTGCAAACGCACCTTACTAGATCTCACAACTCATATTTTGTATATGGTTCCTACGTTATTATGAACTGTTCTTGCTATAAAAGAAGGCTACGTATGGACCTTCTTACTCCCATTAAAATAATTCATATTTTAAGTTATTTTGTGCCAAATATAACAATAATCCAAAAAAAAAAAATCAAGGTACTTCTTGATTTTTGATTAACAGAACCCAAAGAATTGAATACGGATAGCTAAAAAATTAGTGTATTTCTGTTCGTTTCCTCTTGCCTACCAGGAAGGGTAGTGTTTTTTTCCCCTGTCGGTTGTCATTGTCTGTATAAATCGATTACATAGAAGTTAGGAATTTGTGACTTGTTAAATGTACGACCAGCGTCATTTCAAGCGACTGCTTAAATGATGTTTTACGGTTTAGTTATCTCACTTCCACATGTTAAAAAAAAACAGTTTCTTGAAATAAATATTAGAAGGAAACTGGCTATAAGAAAAAGCAACTGAAGCAAAAAATAGAGCTTTCTTGTAAACAATGCAAATGATAGTGTCATGATGCAGATTCATAGCTTTAAGGGTCGTTTTTCAGTATTCGTCGTATAGCTGATGGTTTTTAATGCCCCTGTGGAAAATAACATAATGTCAACCACCATGGCCCACCAATAACAGTTGAAGAGAACAGATACCTCTTTTAATAATGCAGGGAAGTCCTTCCGAACTGTTATCAACAAGTGATAACATTGCCACAAAGTTGGTGGATGACATGGCATAGCTGTGCGAACGTTTTACAAGATAAGCAAAGAGGATGGATTACATTGCTTTGGTTCTGTGTACAGCCATAATATCCGAATATGTATGTAGTTCACTAACAATTCCTTGGTGCCCTAGAGACCAAAGACTCAGTGACAAGATAAATGGGGCTGAATAAACGGTATCAATTTTTGATCACTAAGAACTAGGTTGGTGTATTTTCATTACCTACTTTCTTGTTAA